ACATTCATTGCAACATCTCTGAGTAATCAAAGAAAGGAACAGATTAGTAGGAATAGGCACTACATAATATCTATTTTGGAGGTTCTTATGTTGTGTGCTACTCAGGAAATTGCTTTGAGAGGACATAGAGAAGTGGCCTCAAAGAACAAAGGTAACTTCTTAACAATACTTGGCCTAGTAGGTAAGCATGATTCCATTGTTGCTTCACGTTTGAGTGATGGGCCAAGAAATGCATCCTATACTTCTCATAGTATCCAAAATGAGCTTCTACATCTTCTTGCCAAAAACGTGCAGAAGGTCATTTGCGATCAAGTGAAGAATGCTGGTTACTATAGCATTATCGTTGATGAATGTAGAGATCTTGCTAAGAGGGAGCAATTGTCTTTCTGTGTTCGATATGTAATAGTTAATACATGGGGCGGCGTGTTCTATCGGATTTATCCGCACGAGCTTCCGGTCGAGTCGCTAAAAATAGCGCACGAGGCCGAAGGCCGAGTGCGCTATTTTTAGCGACGAGACCGGAAGCGAGTGCGGATAAATTCAATAGAACACGACGCCACATGTATTAATTGTTTTAGTGTAGAGTTCCAGCAAAGATTGCACGTGCTCACTGCTCTGTCATCTTTGTCTGATCAAAATGGCCGAAGGATGCTCTGATGGACAAGCACCTGTACCTCCTCCCAACTCCCAAGAGGAGAAGACTCAAACTTAATGGCCCACAAAGGTTTGTCTACGCAGAAGAGAGTGCTGTCATATGGCTTCAAAAGGCGTCATGCCTAAAAACACGGTTCGTGTCAACAAAAAAAGTCATGAGGCAAAGAAGACCTTGTCTACACTTATTTCTGGAAACTTAGAGAATTGCACAATCAACTTGTACACTTCCTCAAAATAAAGGCTCCTGGACTTTGCAGATCACTTAAGTGACATTCTATTCATCAAAATTGATTTAATTATAATATTTTAAAAATAAAATTTGCTATCACTGATATCACACTGCTGCACATTAAATAAATGAGTGTGCTATTTATAATATCACATTGCGGTATTGGTCGGAGTGTTCTATGGGTTTTATCACAACTGTTAAGCCTTTGATCTTTGCTGTAACTATACATTAAGTTATTATTATTATGACAGTCATGAGATTATTAAATCCTATAAAACTGATTTTACCATGATGATTAGCAAAGTTTTGATAAAGGCAAAAGGCTATTCTTTTCAAAATAGCAGACATACATGTACATGTACATGTATTTCTGATAAATTAATCTAAATCGCTTGTTTTACCTTATAAGGTATTATGTTTATATTTCATGTATTTAGCATTGGGAGAGTATTAAAAAAGGATCAATATCTGGTGAGGGACTCTGGACTAAGGGGAGAGCTGATCATGCTAGTGCTATTATCAATGGTGACTCTACCTCACCTGCACTAGTAGTGATTGGTGGACGGGATAAGTACAATCAACTAGTGAACGAATGTTTATTATTTGATAATATCACTACTGGTCAGTTCCATAGGCGGCTGCAGGGTCGGGCATTTAGGGGCAATGCCCGACCAAAAATTCTGACCGGAAGTGTGACATCACCATAATTAATAGTTATTCTGTGGTTAATTAATAGTTAATAACAGTTGTTGCAATTATAATTTCAATTTTTAACGACCTGGGGGCGAAGCCCCCAGGTCGTTCCTATAATTGATTTCACCGTCGCGCTATCTATATATATATATATATTTGTATGTCCACACTTACATTTCTTCTATACATGTTGTATTGGAGAAATAACAAGCCTTAGCAACCACCCGCCCACGCTCCTTTACGTAAGTGGGTGTGGCCACGGAAAACAAAATGGCGGCTTACACACGGGACAAAGTTATGAGCTTTCTAACAGCCAGAGAACATAGAGATACTGTCTAACAACTTCTCTAGAAGCATTTGCAGGTAGAGAGAACCTCTATAAGTCTTAATAAGTGCCTAGCTATGCATGCAAGGTGGTGAAATCAATTATAGGAATTATTTTTACACTGTTACGCTTGTTTATGAAAATCTTATTATTATGAATGCATAAATGGCAGGCTGATAACAAGGTGATGAAGAGAGACTAAATAAAGGAGGAGCTCGAGGTGGTAAGACTTTGGTGCCAATCACAGTGGGCCACCACAGCAACAATATCTAAAAGCATGGACTAGCTTCACTATGTCCTTTGTGAACAAGCCTGCTAAAAAGGAACAACAGTTTACAAAGTGAACCTAGTAAGTACAGTATAGAAGTCAATATTACAGATTATCTCATAATTCTTACTTTAGGTCAGTTTCTTGCTGAATCAGTTGATGATTATGAGTCTCAGTCTACTCTTGTGGTTGATACAGCTACAGTTTTTACAGCTACAGTTGATGTACAGTTAATTGTTGCTCATTCTCCATCACCCTATTCTTCTACTTCCTCTACTAATACTACTACTAGTACTATTACCACTACAGAAGTCAGTGATGGAGCTACACCACCCACTACTTTATTACAATAACCTTCGCTACCAAAAAATTGTGCTTAAAAGGGTGCGTAAAAGAGGGTGTGGCCAAAATCGCGGCGCGCTTCGCGCGCCCAACCCATTTCCTGTACCACACCCATGCCCGACTAGTAGTCAAATCCTGCAGCCGCCTATGGGTCACAGCTTTATAGTCTCACAGCCGCAGGGGCCCAGGCCAGGCCACAGTCAGGCAAATCTAGATCAATATGCCATGGGTGGCCAGACTAAACAGCCAACTACTGCAACCAGCTCCTGCCAGGGACTCCTACTCACTGCTCAGCTCCTGCATGCTAGGCGACTTTCTCTAACTCTATTTATAGCCACTTTATTAATAAACATTAATAACCAGTGTTGACCACGCCCACGTTGCTCAATCGCACCACAATGGCTGACACTGAGTCTATTGTCTACAATGAAACTGAGAATAACGAGAGCCTGGCCTCTAATGTCTCGGGAAGAGAAGCAGCTTCGAGGGAAGGACTAGCTACGGCTTATATATTCCTATTCGCAATGGCCCTGGTCCCTATATTTATAGGCTCACTCCGTTCTGTTGTTTATCATTACAACTTAAAGGTTTGGAAATCATGTAGCACGTGACTATCACGTGATATTTTGTTGTGTTTATAGAAAAAGGGAGAGCAGGCCGAGGAGCGTATTCGTATGAGAGAGGCGGCCATGTTTCCGATTTATGCCAGCGTCGCATTATTCAGTCTTTACATGATCTTCAAGGTATTAATAAATAAAAAATTAATTAAGTTTTGAGCCACACCCTCTCCTGTTTATATGTATATTTTTAGACATGTTCTCATTCTCTCTCTCCCTCTCCTTTCCCTCACTCGTTCTCTTTCTTTCCTCAGTATCTCCCGAAGGATCTAGTCAACATGGTTTTAAATATGATTTTCTTCAGCGTTGGTGTCACTGCTGTCACTAGGGCCTCAAGGTAAAGAAATTAATCTTGCTACTATAAAAAAGAAATCGCTTAAATATAAATGTTCGTTTGAATGTGTTATGTTTCTACCAATATTGTAGTAGCTACACGTATAATTATACATGAATGATTAAATTAAATGTTAATTATTTCTATAAATAGAATGTTTATTTTTGATATAATATAATTACCATTATTATTATTATTATTACTATAAATAGAAATGTTTATTTTTGATATAATATTGTTATTATTATTATTATTATTATTATTATTATTATTATTATTATTATATTTTTTCTAGTGTTCTTGTTGATTACTTATTGAGTTTAGTCAATGTTCTTAATCTGTCTACATACATACTCCAGTTTCAAAAGAAAGGGAAGGACAAGCTTCTCAGTGAGTTACTCATTTTTGGCAGCTGCTAGTTCTTATTCAAATACCATTCATCCTTTGTTTCAGATATCTTCAAGTTTGAGTTCACAGTCATTGATGTTGGCCTATGTGTACTAGCAGCATTACTGGTTGCCTGGCATTTCCTAACTAAAGTAATAAGTAGCTGCTTTTATATATAAAATGGCTATCATAATCTCTTTCTTTCTATGTAGAATTGGGTATTGAATAATATAATGGGTGTGGCATTCTGTTTTAATGCAATTGAGTTGATATCATTAGAGAGGTAAGTGTTACAATGTACATGTACATGTACTTATAATGTACATCAGACCTGGGGCCCATTACAATTGAGGCTTAAGTCTGCAGTATAGTGCTTAGCTTCTTGCTAGCTCATGGGTATAGAAAAGCTTGATTTATGGTATATTCTCCATTTTATAATTTTTCTGATGTAACTATGTACATGTTTTTATGTTGCATAGAAGTTTGAACTGATTCCAATTGGATTTTTAATGAATTTCTATTTTGTAATTGACCCCTGACATACATGTACATACATGTATGTACATTACAATTTGTGATCTTATTCCTCTCATTTCTTCTCTTCCTTTTTCCTCTTCTCTTCCTCAGTATTCCTGTTGGCTGTACATTACTTGGAGGTCTTTTCCTTTATGATATATTTTGGGTAATTTCAATTTGCCTCCCTCCTTCTCAAATTTATCTAATTCCATTCCAGGTTTTTGGAACGGATGTCATGGTAACTGTAGCCAAATCCTTTGACGCTCCAATCAAACGTAACCAAACCCAAGTCATGTGACCATCACGTGATCCTTTCTCTCCTCTTATAGTGATGGTTCCATTGGATCTTCCTGAAAATGGAATGGACGCTTCAAATTTCGGGATGCTTGGCCTAGGGGATATTGTTATACCAGGTATGGAAACCTCTTTTAGTGTTTAATAATTTTTATTCATTTTTTGCAGGACTTTTTATTGCCCTCCTTTGTCGATTTGATTTTAAGTGAGCCACCAATTAAAATTTTTGATCAACTTTCTGTGTATTTTCGTAGCCACCACCCATCAAAATTTAGAGGTTACTTCTACACCAGTTTCATAGCTTACATCATCGGTCTCGGGACCACCATTGCCATCATGCACATATTCAAGGCGGCACAACCAGCTCTACTCTATCTGGTACCAACTTGCGTTGGTCTACCTCTTGTACTGGCCTTGATTAGAGGGGAACTTGGACCACTTTTTGCGTAAGCATTATCAGGACATTGTTTATGTCACCATTATGTCCACACAATGGGGTACAGCATAACATATAGTCAAAGACATTTGTATTTGTAAATTTACTATGTTGCTATTGAGTCTTAACATGTACCCCATAATGGTGTCCCTAACATCATAACATAATGTTCAAGCCTTCAAGGTCATGTGTACTTGTAAATGTACAATGTTACTATTGAGTCTTAACATGTGTACCATCACAATGCTACAAGGTGTGTCCAACATCATAACATGTGTCTAAGGTCATGTACATTGTTATAATAATTACATGCAGTCAACATGTCTACACCTTGGGTTGGTACACAATAATACCCTAGCTCCTGATTATGAACCTGTCCTTATTTCAGAGGTTCATTAACACCATTTATGTATTGGGACTGATGCTACCTGTCCTCATTATAGAGGTGTCCTTATTTTAGAGTGTCCATAATAGCTTATTCTTAAATATGTGTATTTCATGTATAGGCCTTATCTGATATATAATTTATTTTTCCCACTCTTTCTTCTCCTCTTTTCTAGTTATGAAGACTATCCTTCAAAGAAGACTCCGACTGACTCAACAGCAGGAGATGGCATCAATGGTAGCGATGAAACTATTCACAACGATCCAAATCAAGATGACGGAGCAGCTGCTAAAAGAGAGTAACATTTACAAACATCTTTAATTCTTTTTTCCCTCAGTTAGGCCTATGATTATTATTATTATTATTATTATATAGCCCTCTCTTGTTAATATTTAATATTATTATTATTATTATTATTATTCAATTATTTACTTTTTTCAAGTCACAAAAATAACAACGAAAAAGTTAAAATTAAACTAAAAAAAAACAAATAAATAATAATTTAAAATAATTATAAAAATCTATCAACACATTCCACTTGCAAACAATGTAACACACAAAATTTGTCAACAAAAAAAATAACACAATTTACCAGTGAATGTTCTAATAACTACTGTGGGGGAAGTTGATACAACCTAAAAATAGAAACAATGATGTCATACTATTAATAGAACAGTCGGCTATAAATAGAACACTTACCCAGGTGCAGTAGGTGGAAAAGCTGTATACTTTAATGAATTCTTTTTCACCAAAATGGGTAATGCTCCCGATCGACGAAGTACGTTTAAAGCTAATCGGAACGACCGAAATTGCAGCCCATAGCAACGAGAGAGTAAAGAGACCTCCTGTAAGGTGGTGACTGCTT